AGAATTGAAGGTCAGATAAAGAGCTTCACAGATAAGAACAAGCTAAAGGAGTTCATCACCAGCAAACCAGTATTATATGAAATGCTTCTGAAGGGTGTTCTTTAAGAAGAGGAAGAAGAAGAAAAAGGTAAAGATAAAAAGTATGTACAACAAAGTGACAACAAATACATATCTATCAACAAGTGAATCTAAAAATCAAGTGAATAAAAATCTGATGAACAGAATAAACTGGTGAATAAATAGAATCAGGGGCATAGAAAGGGAATGGACTGACAATTCTCAGGGGGAAGGGACTGTGGGGGGTGGGGGAAGAGATTGAAGAAAAATCGAACACCTATGGACAAGGACAAAGGGGGGAGGGGCAGGTAAGGACATGGGTTGGGGTGGGAACCGGGTGGAGGGGAGCTATGGGGGGAAAAAAGAGAAACAACTGTAATAATCTGAACAATAAAGACTTATTTTAAAAAAAAATCAACGGAATGAGGATTAAAAATAAATAAATAAATAAGTAAGCAAGCAAGTAAATAAATAAATAAAATAAAAAAGAGTAGGACCTGTAAGAAAACCTTCTTAAAAGTATTTTAGATGTTGATGCTTACTGAACAACTATAACCTGTCTGGTTGTCATTCACTCACCTGGACAAATTTCCTTTCCACTTCTTTCTCCACCATCCAATTTGCCTTTCTGTTCCAACAGAAAATCATGTATAGCTTGGTTAATTTATAACCTGCTGTTGGAGAAATGACACACCACTAGAATGTTAATGCTGGGACCAAAATGCCAGCCTAGAACTCAGGCTGAGACCTGGGCTCTCAGGGCCTTCTGGAGGATAACGTGCAATTTCCAGGGATGACCTGTGAAAAAGAACAAAGTAAGGACCCTTTGCCTTAAAGATTAAAGTACAATTATATGAGCAAAGGGACTAAGACTATGAATTCTGAATTTCAAAGCCATACTCGTTAAACCATTTAAGCCTCCACATATCCTGAAATGGGCAAAGAAAGGAAACTTACTTTCAGAATTTTACTTACATAGAAAAGATGTTCATACCATACCTATTTGTTATTGTTCTCTAGCATCACACTCCTGCATAGGTTCTTGTTAGAATTTTAACTGTGGCCCTTTTTACTGGATTAATTCAATACTGAAGTCTATGACTATCACAACATATGCCTATCAGAACTAAGCCACGTAGGTAAAATGCATAGGAAGTTGTTCTGACAGTATTCAGGAATTTTTTAAAAACTACCAAAAAATTTTCCTGAAATATTACTATTTACTTTGTTTGCATTATAGTCATGCTCTTATACAGTGAATGTAAATATGTTCATCCATTCATTCAAAAAACATGTTTAAGGTCATAAGGACAACTGACAAAATCTTAATATGGACTGGATTAAATTATAATAATGTATCAATGTTAAATTTTCTGAGTTGGACTACTGTACTATAGTTATAAAAAAGAATGTCCTGCCTGGCTGGCATGGCTCAGTGGTTGAACCAGTAGGTCATATAGGTTGATGCTCATAGTTCAATTCTGGGTCAGGGCCTATACCCAGGTTGCATGCTTGATCCCCAGTGTGGCATGTGCAGGAAGCAGCCGATCAATGATTCTCTCTCATCATTGATGTTTCTCTCTCTCTCTCTCTCTCTCTCTCTCTCCCTCTCCCTTCCTCTTTGAAATCAATAAAAATATATCAAAAAAAAGAGAGCCCTGACCAGTTTGGCTCAGTGGCTAGAGTGTCGGCCTGTGGACTGAAGAGTCCCAGGTTCGATTCGGTCAAGGGCATGTACCTTGGTTGCGGGCACATCCCCAGTAGGGGGTGTGCAGGAGGCAGCTGATCCATGTTTCTCTCTCATCGATGTTTCTGACTCTCTATCCCTCTCCCCTCCTCTCTGTAAAAAAATCAATAAAATATATATTTTTTAAAAAGAATGTCCTTGTTCTTAAAAAATTCATGCTGAAGTATTTAGAGATAAACAGAGTATTGTATACAACTTAGTCTCAAATGCTTCAGAGAAAAAAATTACACAAATACATACTGAGAGAAAGAGAGGACAAATAAAGTGAAAAAACAAAATGTAAATGATTGGTGAATAAGGGTAAAAGGTATATGGGACTTCTCTGTACTATTCTAACTTTTCTATAATGTTGAAATCATTTAAAAAGCAAAATTCTAAAAAAAAATTAAGATACTACTTACATAAATACTATTTACACTGTTTGTTGAAAAAGCTTGGTCACCAATTTGTACTGGGGTATGACAGAGATGGAAGACTTAGAGCCTTATTTAAACAGTAATGTATACAAAGAAACATGAGAAAGTAAGTTGGCTGAAGACAATCTGCAAGAGGAAAAAAAATCAAGTTTGATATTCTAGAAAATCAGAGTGTCAGATTTCTGAGGAACATACAAGCAGATACATCCATTAGGGCAATTGTATATATAGATGAGGCCTCAGAATAGTCCTAGAATCGAAATGGTAATTTGTCAGGTGTCAGAATATCATTGCTGCTAAAGACACAGATGGAATGTTACAGAGATGTGAATGCTTACAGAGAATATACATTCTGCCCTGGCCGAGCGGTTCAGTTGGTTGGAGTGTCATCCCATAGACCAAAAGGTTGTGGGTTACGGGAGGCAAGCAATCAATGTATCTCTCTCATATTGATGTTTTTCTCTCTCTCTCCTCCCTTTCTCTAAAAACAAAACAAAACAAAATAATAAAAACATATCCTCAGGTGAGGATTAAAATATATATACACGTATGTGAAAAAGATGGTCAAGGACAGAGAGAATCCTAGAAACACCAACAATCTAGGAGGCTAGAAAAAGTTTCACAGGAACATTGTGGCTGCTTAGTTTTGAATCTTTCAAATACTTCTTTTTGAAAAACCATACAAACATCAAAAACAACAGGAAGGAGTAATCAACCAGTCAATCTTTAGTGAAACTAGTAGAGAGATAATATATGTTAACTCTAAATTATATGTAAGTGTGGCCCAAAACACAGATGCTACAGGAACCACAATAGTGTGGTAGGTGTATCAAGAAAGACTAGATAATGGAGAGAAGTCTTTGACTTAATAGATCCCAGAAATAACTAGCAAATATTCATTCTCAAAATGAGGTATTCACCCTGAGTAAAAACTTGTAACCAGTTCTAATAATGAAGAAAATTAAGGATAAAAAAAAAAACCCAACTCCCAAATTCCATGTACCTCTGCCAAAGGCAGACCCAAAAAGGAGGCCTAACCAGAAAGTTGCAAAGAAGTCTAGAAAAAAACAGAAATGCTGAGGGGGACTCTTAAGGATTTCAAACTTTAAAAATCTGCAGATATTTCCTTACAGAATGAGTAGGCCTCATCCTAAGAGGTAACTAATGAAAGCAAAAACTAATTAAACAGAAAAGGACTGCAGGGGGAAGCAAAAAGAGTAGGCTTAAAAAATACAGTAAGTCCTTACTTAACATCATCAATAGGTTCTGCAACTTTAAGCAAAACAATGTATAACAAAACCAATTTTACCACAGGCTACTTGATATAAACAAGAGTTCAGTTCCCATGGCATCTCATCAACTTTATAGCCAAAGGACACTTTAGGGAAGAACATTATTCCAGGACCTGCTGTACTTGGGAGTGGAGCATCCTCAGATTTACCAACTTCTAAAAGTGAATACATCATCCTAAAAGGCAAGTACTATGAAAAATTATGGGAAACAGAGAGATGGAAACAGAAGTCTGCCTCACAAGGTTAGTTCATTGAGCCAGAGAAGGTACACAAATCCCGTGCTTTAAAAACTAGAAAGGCAGGTGAACTTTGAACCACAGAATAATACTATGCCTCCTTTTTCCTGGTACTAGTCTAGGAAAATCTGATACAAACATGAGTAACACAAAAGAATCTATCTGTGTCCATAAAAGGATACTATAAAAAACAGTAAAAATAAACAGCATAATTTTCCAACAGTTTAATAAACTCATCTGAAAATATTGCCACAAAGTAGATAAAAAATGAAACACAACGTAACAAAATGTTTTAAAAAAAAGACATTAAAACTTTAAGAAACAAGCAAAGCTATACAAAGAACACACACACACAAAAAAAGAACTGCATAAAGAAAAAAGAGTGAAAGGAAAGAAAACAGAATAAGAATGAACATCATATTTCTATTGTTTGTTTGTTTAAAGACTACAGTATCACAGTTTGTAAATGTTTTTTCCCCTCTCAATTAACATGATCTTTCCTGGTTGTTGTATCTGAGATACAGCACTGGCCTCAGCCTTAAACTTTTTGTTTCTACTCACATCCCCAGAGATCCAGGCAGCCTGAGTAATCTATATAACAATACTGTATAGGAAATCATAATCTGTATCTGACCACAAAAACCATGATGAAGGCATTTCTATTAAATTCTAAATAAAGACAGGATGCCCACTGCCTCAATTATTTAATATAAACAACTGCTCAGTATGTTAAGCAGGGAATAAAACTAATTTATAGAAATCAACAAGCTTCCCATAATGACTCCATTCATAATAGCAATATAAAAGATAAAATACCCAGAAACAAATTTAGTAAGAAGTGTCTAAAACCTATATTAAGAAAATTTTTAAACACTCCAGAAACTGTACATATCATGAACATGGATGGGAGTATTTAACATCATAAAGATCTAATGTCCCTTTTCCCTAAGTTAAAAGTTTAATGCAATACCAATTAAAATAAGGTGTTTTGTCCCCCTAGAATAAGCTGATTCAAACATTTACATAGAAAAACAAACAAGCAAAAATACCTAGGAAACTCTACAAAGAATTATAAATTATAAAACCTCAAAAATAGAGTTAAATAGTGGTACACAAATATAGACTGGAAGATGGAGGAGAATATAAAGTCCAGAAATAGACTAAATACATATGAGAATTTAGTATATGATCAAAATGGAATCTTAAAACAGTGAATTTAAGACCTTGAAATAAATGGTGTTGGAAGAAATGGGTAGTCAATTGGAAAAAGATAAATCTGGTATTAAGATAAACACTTAATACCATATACCAAGGTAAACTCTAAATAAATTAATAAAATTAAAAAATATATATAAATATGAAAACAAAACCCTATAAAAATTTTAGCCTTGTAGGTATTTGAAAGTATAGGTAAAATCTGGAGTGAGAAAGGCATGTTATGACCATAAATAAAAAAAATAATAAATCTAACTACATAAAAATAAAAATTTACCTCTGGATTCTGCATTAAGAAATGACCACTATGAATAGTATCAAAACACAAATTTAATTAATAAAATAAAATATATATAAATATGAAAACAAAACCCTATAAAAATTTTAGCCTTGTAGGTATTTGAAAGTATAGGTAAAATCTGGAGTGAGAAAGGCATGTTATGACCATAAATAAAAAAAATAATAAATCTAACTACATAAAAATAAAAATTTACCTCTGGATTCTGCATTAAGAAATGACCACTATGAATAGTATCAAAACACAAATTTAAAACTGGAAAAAAGTTTTGCAACTAATTTCACATACAGCTAAACTTTCTAATGTAATGTAACATGTAGAATAAAAAGCTACCCCCCAAAGAAAAAAGGAGAATGGGATAGAAAGAGTTCCCAAATAAACACATGTAAGCCTTAAATATATGGAAGATACTCAAACTCACTGATGAGGTACGTAAATTAAACCTACACTGAGATACCAATTTTCACTTATGCCTTTGGCAAAAAAACAACAACCAATAAAATAAAATTAGCTATTCAACACTATACTCTGATGGTAAGGTTCTGAGAGAAAAGGTACTCTTGTACTTTGCTAATGGGCATTATTAAGTACTTA